GAAGAGGACAAAAAAAAAATGAAAAACCCAAAAAATTAAAAAATAACCACCTTGAACATCCAACAAAAAACAAAAAAATTGGTAATTGTGCGGCGACATCCAAAACCTTTTTTTGGGAAAGGGGGGGGGGGGGGGGGGGGTAAGGGGGTTTGGATACAATTTTTCGCTTCAACAACCACGGCGACTATCTCAATCTGCACGTCCTCAAAGGGTTCTGTTTCATATAACTACACTTCTGTTTATTACCACAAAAAACGGTATAGTGCATTGCTACTTACGTCAAGATCTTTACAGTTGGTATTTGTTATGAAGCCGTCAGCAGTACATTCCATGTTGTCGTCTTTGGGAATTTTCAACTCATAACTGCCAAAAGGACTTTTGCATTCTTCCCTTCCCAGAAGGCTGTCTGTTCGAAGACCTTTTCCTTTGTTAAGGGGATTGTCGCACATCCCAATCCAGCGAGCATCGTCCTCTGTTACGCAATACTTTGTGCACTCTGGCGAATAAAATTAACATTGTTTTATTCAGAAAACTTTATGATCTGAAGATAGTGGATAATGTAACTTGTTTTCAATTTTTCTGGTGGCGAAACCGTTTAGAAAAACGCTATCAACTCTCTTTTTTGGTTAGGAAAGTTATGTTCTTCTAGAACAACCTTGCCCTTAAATTTGAATTCCAACGCACTCACAACATTTGCGGCCTCCAGCACACCCATTTTGCGTTACAAAATACACTATCCCTAATTTAATGTATTCTTACTAGCTTCGCTTTCCCGGCACTTGGTTTCATCGCTGATGGTAAATCTGTCAAACCTAACAGTCCTGAATCCACCAAGAGGTTGACGATATGATTTCACCGGTGTCTCGCTGTCAGCTGAACGAAAATAGGAACCGCCAAGATGGCGTAATTGGATGTACATCTTTCTAGGCACATTTGCAGCTTGCTCGGCCCCAAAAAGCTCGATGTATATCTGCGAATATGAGACAATGAACTTTTTAACATCGGATAATTATGTTTTGCAAATGCAATATTAAACTTTAGCAATATCTTGTAAATGTTACCTTTAATAGACGGACGTTGTAACAAGTCTCGCAACTACGATCAATGTTGATGCTAAATGTTGTCTCCCCTTGAGCAAGTTCGTCAAATATCTGGAGAGAAGAAAAAGGCAAAGAGCCACAATATCACTGATATGAGGCTATGTACATACTGTTTGGTATGATTAGAAAAGCTACCAATTAATTTTAGTGTCGATGCATTTAGCACTTGATAGAGATCGTCTTCACTGTGCGGAAATGACGTCCAGTATGATAAGCGCTTAGAGTAGCATTTACACGAAAAAAAGTAACTTATTAACTGTTGGTATTCGTCCGTCGCGGTAAAAGATAAAAAAATGTCAAGACATTTGCGCACTTTTCTGACACTAAATCATCAAAATATGTCCTGATTTAACGAGGCAAACAGGGTGCAAAGAGAGTCAGTTTTACAGCCTGCCATTCGAGCAAGTTGTAGTTAGCATGTACTAGCCTACAAGTCATTTCAACTGGCCCGAAAAAACTTTTTGGTGAGCAGGATTGATTACAATCCGTCTGTTATTTGAATTTTGTTCCCCCAAAACTGCACTTGACCGTCGGGCAAACCCCTTTGATACGGCTACTGAGGGGGCCATAAAAAGTGTTCGTAATAACGGGATGTCTTTATTAAGAAGGTTAAATTTGGAGAAAATCTAAGGGCTTTCTTTTACCAGGGACTACCATACTGTCCGTAATAATGAGGAATCCGCACTAAGCGGGTGTCGGTAATGCGGGATTTGACTGTATTTTGCAAAGTGTTCACACTGGAATCAGCAGGGAAGGTTGAAACACTACGGCAGCGTGACGTGGCGAGCTCACCGCTTTGTTGTTGGTTTTATCGAAACTCCACTTCTGAATATCAGTGCTGTACGGGTTAATCGAGAAACACGTCACAGCCTTTGACTTGATGTCTTTCATATTTTGAAACACGTCTGTTAATTGTACTGCTCCGTTGAGTCTCCCAACGCCATAGGCACTTTCAGAGGCGATCCTACGGAATGAACGCATGACATCATCTAACACCCAGAGGGTACGGAAACCAAGGGCTTTGTAAAGACCGTATAGCTTTTCCATAAACATTGTTTCCAGTTGTCTGTATGTGCTGAGCAGATTATCGGTGAATGTTTGCTGAAGATTGCTGCTTAAGGAACCACCTGATATGACAAAAAAACAAAGAAAAGAAAAGAAAAAAAGATGTTGTTTATAATTGGCTCGCAATCACGTGACAAGGCGGCAGTGTTGGTGTTGTGTTGGTGGTCACTACAATAGAATTTTTTTCGTAGAATTTACATGAAAGGGTGCAAACCAGCAGTTGCTGGCACAACATTGCGAGGAGGGGATCGGAGGAGGGGATCGGAGGAGGGGAGTGGGTCAAGGTATAAACCTGAAGGTGATCAAATGAATTATTATTAATTTTCTATGAACTGGAGTCTTGAAACTTACTAAAAAGGGCTTCCCCAATTATTTTAGAATCTTTTGCTCTTCGTGGGGTTTCCTAGAATTCTTGGGGGTCCTAATCTCTGAGCTACAGCGGAACTTAAGCCGTGAACATATGGGCTATTAACTATTTCATTGTCTTTCCAGAGAAATAAAATGAAGAAGGAAGCAGCCTACGAAAAAAAGCCGACATTTCGTCACGTCACTACTGGTTTCCCTGCGAAGTGACTTCTGAAGAACGAGCGCAAATCCGGGTAGTGCCTCTGATTGTTCCTACCGGGAGGGAAATTTGTTTCAACCAATGAGAAGCACTAGCCAGATCTGAGTAGTGTAGTGTCAGTATCTCAGACATCATGCCGCGGGGCAACCACTGTTGGCGTCTCAAAATGTCGGCTGTTTTCTCTGGCTAAGAAGGAAATTAGTTTTGATTTCATACTTTCCGAATCCTTCACTTCAGAAACTGCGCTAGCTGTATCCTTAAGCACAGGAATATCAAAGTTGTATCCTCCAATCTCGTTATCAATGTCCATACATTTTGCTATCATATCTATGCGAGATGATCCAACGATGAAATAGGACTCTATTTCTGCTTCTAGATCTGCAGTTAAACTTGGTTTGGAATGCTCGTCTAACAAGCACACTAAATCTGCAGCCAGTTGTTCTTTGCTTATCTCAAGGTTGGCCTAAATTTCAAAGGAGAGAGAGAAAAAAATAAAGGGTATATAATTCGAAAGTAAGTCTCAGCTAAAATGTACAGCTCATTCCATTTTTAACATATGTGTTTTATCAAGTCTATGTCAGAGCTCATTATTTCAGATTCAAAATTGGTTTCAGATTTATAACATTTTGGGCAGTTGGAGTTCGCAAGCGTTTTCACACGTCAGTTAATCACACGTTCATTTTTACAATTACAATTTACCAGCCTCGCTATTGTTTTCAGACTCTAATTAATGGCTACAGTTGTAACTTACATTCGTACAAGTTTTTTTAATAGTCCCCAGATGGAGAGTATCCACTCTGCGGATCATGACAGATACTGACCTGCATAATTTCAGGGACTGAATTAATATCGACCAGAGAAAAGTCCAGGTCACTCGAGTCTTCCAGAGGTATGTACTCCTTCCCAAAAGTCAACCATTTGTTGATACTTCTAAGAGAAGAATCAAGTGATATGCGGCATGGCGCATTTGAGGCATAAGACGCAATGTCAAGAGCAGTGTTGATGAAGTCAAAGGGGTCCTTTCCAGCTATGGCGCTGGCAAAGCCTGTCATTCCCTGGAGTACTGCGATGGTTTCGTCGCGATTTAGCTTGTCCTGCACCTTCTTTTGAGCGTTTGGTAGCATGTTCTTGATCTTGATAAGTATGGATTTCATTCTTCCCTCCTGCGTTTTGATAGCCTTCGAACAAATCAATGGGTTTTTTTTAATAGGTTTTCCAGATTGGATGTTACTACTCTTCTATAACTTTAAATTGGCTCACCCTACGACCACCAAAAGTACACACGATAATGTACTCGTCATGTCCAACTTCTGAGCATAACTTGATTGACGCAGTGGCGTAATGTAACGTCATTATGACGTCATATTGTTGAATTTATTGGCAGAATCCAAATTTCCCTTAATGTAGACATGAAGCGAAAAGTACTTAAATAATTATATGAAAGTAGATCATCGCGGTTATGACTCAAATTTTGCTGTTGCGAAAACTGAAAGCCTGAAAAAAATTCAGGCTTGTACGGGATTCGATCCCTTGACCTCTGCGATACCGGTGCAGCGGTCTTGAGGTGTTTTAGAGTTCTTTTGAAGCAAAGGAAAGGATTTAAACCATAAATGGAAGCTGAAACACAGCTTCAGTGTGCCGGGGAAATACGTGAAATTAAATTTCAATATCCATACGTACATTAACATACATTCCTTTTTGCTTTAACGCAACTGACTTTGCTTCTTCCAGTCGGGCTATTTGGGCATTAACTTGTTTTGATGAAACATCTGCCAACTTAGACGCCATCTGTGGAGGAATATCATACTAGCGTTTAAATGAACTTAGTGCCCCATTCATAATATCAATTATAATACGATAATAATAATAATAATAATAATAATAATAATGATAATAATAATAATAATAATAATTATTATTATTATTATTATTATTATGATAACAATTGTCATAATGATGATAATGATGATGATGATGATGATAATAATAATAATAATAATAATAATAATAGTAATAATGGTAATGATAATCATAATCGTAATCATTATCATTATCATCATCATAGTAATTGGCTCGTGAGTAATGATAATGATAATAATGACGATGACGACGGTGATGACGATGATGATGGTGATGGTGATTGGAAAATTGTAATTTGTAGCGGGGTTCCGTATGGCAATTACTTGTCTCAAGCTCTTTTCATCTCGAGTGAAGCAGGGCCAAGTTAAGATGCCGCATTCCAAACAAGTTCTATTCCTTCAAACGAACTGTAAACTTAAAAAAAATAAAATGCCCAACCTTTTAAAATTAATTAGAAAGGCTGACCTGCTGGAAGTTTTCCTTGTCTTGCACGGTAGACAAGATATCGTTGAAAGCATCTTCGTAGGTTTCAGCAGCGTCCTTTATTTCTTCAACGTCTTCTTCAAGTTTTCCCCACTTGACAAGAGGGGCAAATAACTTGTTGTTTCCAAAAATGTCATAGCCATATTGTCCCAAAAACCCAAGCTTCCTGTTCACGTCTAACAGTGGTTGAGAATAAAGAGTTTTAGAATCACGTTTACGGCAAACGGCAAAGGTCAGAGTTCAAGTTGGAAATAGAGAAGACAAGTGATGTCGTCACAAAAACTAAATCTGTGGAATTATGGAAAAGGTTAGCTTACTCAAAAAGAACAAGAAGAAGAAAGCCCCCTTATCAAAAATCAGTGTGTTGGTTCGAATTGGTGGGGAGATACAGGCACCGTTATGCTCGAATGACTCCACATAAATCCTTATAAAACAGGCCTAGATCGTAAACGTTACTATCGATGCCTCGATGGCATAGCATTACGTGGAAACGCACCGTTGGTCTTGGCGACCACTGTCTTGGATTTCACAACGGTGTGTTTCCATGCACTGATGTTTCTGTTTTATGAAATTTCCTGACTGGGCATCGCATACCTTTCTTTAGTTGCTCTACATCATCTCTCTCTTCTACAATGCTTTTTATAAACTGCAGTGTACTTCTACCCTGTTGATCATTGCTGTTGCCTAGCAACAAGTCGACGGCTTGTCGCCTCATCAGAAGGAGCAGCTCCTGTGGATAGTCCCTTTTGATAGCTGCGTTTAATCTTCCCGATGCAATTGAAGAGTCCTCTACCACACCATCCAGTCCTTTTTTAGAAGGAGCTGAAAGTTTTGAAAACAGTTTTAGCTGTTTTTTGAATGGACCTCGGAATGCTTTATCTCTTAATTGTGATATTTTTTGGCATCTGTTAACCGTGTTATAAATTCAACCATAAATAATGTTAATTTGTCCCATCAAGCGAAGGTGTTTAGTTGATCACTTTGAGACACTTTAAGAAACTGTCCAGATAAGAACGATAGCAACAACGGCAACGAACATGTTGGAATGCAAAAAAGGTGCTAACTTTTCTATTGTCTGTACTTACTTCTGATTGGCTTAAATAGCAAAAGTTAACAAAACTTCATAAAGCGGTACATATATTCATCCTTACTTTCCAACCATCTTCCATATAACAAAATCTGGTCTCAGTTTGAATAACAAAGAAATCCTTTGTGGGGAACATGTAAAACTGTAAACTTTTCTTGGCTATTGTTTTTAACTCTTGTGATTGGTAAAAATCTTTTAACACAAAAAAACACCCTTTCAAAGTGGAGTGTAAATACATTTTATTGCGTAAACGGCCTTCATGTAGGTTTCCACATGAAATTTGCTAATTTCACACACAAAAATTCTTTTTCTTTTTGTAAACTTTGATACGGTCCTTCGGATTCAACTCCAGAAATTTCGCCAAGATTTGACAAACTAAATGAAAATGAATAGGATCGATGAAGTTTGAAACAGTGCGAATTCACTTTTTAAGAGACATTTTCGGTTTGTTGTCATCCAAAAATTCTGCGTAGCGTGACCTAGCGATTTCTCCTCTCTATTGTGCGCATTAAATCTTACTTGATCCGGGAACCCCATCATCTCCTCTGTCTCCTTTTGGACCTCTTGAAAGTGGATCTCCATATTTTTCACAGCCTTTTGTTGATTTGCCTACTGGCCATGGTCTTCTGTAGTATGTCGTGCACTTTGCTCCATGTCCTCCTTCGCCACCTTCGCCACCTAAAGTAACCAGCTTTTGTGACTGATATTATCACTGAATTAAACTCTAACACACTGACACATGGTTGGGCCCTTGTGAAAAGGTCACAACACTGGTCATTAAATTGACATTGTTGAGAGATCCTATTTTATTTAGTTGATTATTATTATTATTATTATTATTATTATTATTATTATTATTATTACTGATGACCTCACTCTCGTAGATATGACATAGGAAGATATTTTTAGGCAAATGTTATCTTGTTGTGGTCTGACATTCTTTTAGGTATAAAATTGTCAAACTTATAAAGCTTTAAAAAAATGGATCGAAGGATTCTGGGAGATTTGTACTGTTATTATTTACTTTTGTTTATACTACTACATGAAAAATTACTGCAATTTGATTGGCTTAGAGCAGTGGTATTTCAGCTTAATTTGAAATACCTACATGTGAAAATTACAAATCTTTTGCGGGTGGTAGTATAGACAAATAATAGCATGACTTGTACGTGATATTTGGCATAGATACCACTCGTGATATTTCAAAATTGTCTCAAATTTCTCTCGCCTAACGGCTCGTGAAATTACGTATAACAATTTCAAAATATCACTCGAGGTATTTATGCCAAATATCACTAAAAATCATGCTATTACCTATACAAATTATATTCACTATTTTGCAGATATATCAATGTATTTCGGCCAACTTCTGGTCAATTTGCTGAAGCGAGGAGGAGGCAGTGTAAACAAGCTCCAGTTAGTGCGTGGGACTTTTAATCTGGAGGCCCGAAGTTCGATCCCCGCCCTGACCGCTAGCTGGACTTATTCTCGGCAGTCCAGAGTTCAACTTCTAGAGCACGCTCATAAATTGCCAACTAGCTTGCCTTCGGCAGTTGGGATTTTCAACCTTGTGGGCCACAATGAAAAGTACTGGTTTACCCGTAATAGTGTTACCCCCATAAAAGCAGTTTTTTAAACCGTAGGTCATAATAAATGAAAGCCCCCTTACCTTGGCCACCTTGTCCATTCAAGGCTGGCGGTGCTCCTTTACCCCCGCAGGTCTGTAATTGCACTGTTCCAGTATGCTTCGTATAACGAATGATTATACGTCCGGCTGTCCCTCCTTTGCCTAGAAAATAAATTTAACATCGTGAAAGCGGGAAGGGTGGCCGATCGAAAGGTCAGCGCGTCGGACTTGCAATCGGGCTCTCCTAGCTGGCGCGGCTGGACACTAGCTAATTTTTTTTTCGAGGAAAATCGAAATCAAATCCGCATATCATGTTGGGATGTACATGTAGAATGTCCAAATGCGCGTTTGTTTCAATTGCTTTTGTGAGCCAGACCCAAGCATTACATACCTGGCAATCCTGCATTTCCACCGTCTCCACCTCTTTTGCCCTTGGGACCCTGGGCCCCATTAACGTTATGGCAGTTGTCATAGCCTACGGCCTCGCAGTCGTTGGTAGTCTTGTCAGCTGTCTGATAAAAAGAAAAGTATGTGGTTTAAATATTAGGATATATTATACGAGGAAATATAAGACACGTACGTCTTACATAAGAAGCGTCCTAAACAAGAAGTAAACTCTCCCGTATAAAAGGCACATTTGAAATTTGCCTTCTGTACGAGACAGTTTGTGTCTTAATATTCAGGATGCGTCTCATTTTTCGTCGTAATATAAATTTCCATAATATTGCTTCTTTTGTCTAATTTTAGATTGCAAGTGAAGTGAAAAAAAAAGATCGGGCGGGTGTTTCTCTTGAACTCTTCAAGGTGGGTAACATGACATTAAAAGTGAGTGTCTTTGGTAGAATTAAGGCTGCTTACCATTACGCCAAATAACCTGAAAAATTTCGGGGTGGTTCTAGTGAACATTTGTAAACCACTATTTTTGCAACCCCAACCCCCCAGAAAATTATTATTATTATTATTATTATTATTATTATTATTATTATTATTATTATTTTGTAAATTTTTGATCATATAGTTTTTTGTTAGTTAATACGCTTTTATATGTCATGCGCATTTGATCATATGCACATGTAATTGGCGCAATATAAAGCTCACCGCTTTGTTGTTGGTTTTATCGAAACTCCACTTCTGAATATCAGTGCTGTACGGGTTAATCGAGAAACACGTCACAGCCTTTGACTTGATGTCTTTCATATTTTGAAACACGTCTGTTAATTGTACTGCTCCGTTGAGTCTCCCAACGCCATAGGCACTTTCAGAGGCGATCCTACGGAATGAACGCATGACATCATCTAACACCCAGAGGGTACGGAAACCAAGGGCTTTGTAAAGCCCGTATAGCTTTTCCATAAACATTGTTTCCAGTTGTCTGTATGTGCTGAGCAGATTATCGGTGAATGTTTGCTGAAGATTGCTGCTTAAGGAACCACCTGATATGACAAAAAAAACAAAGAAAAGAAAAGAAAAAAAGATGTTGTTTATAATTGGCTCGCAATCACGTGACAAGGCGGCAATGATGGTGTTGTGTTGGTGGTCACTACAATAGAATTTTTTTCGTAGAATTTACATGAAAGGGTGCACCAGCAGTTGCTGGCACAACATTGCGAGGAGGGGATCGGAGGAGGGGACTGGGTCAAGGTATAAATCTGAAGGTGATCAAATGAATTATTATTAATTTTCTATGAACTGGAGTCTTGAAACTTACTAAAAAGGGCTTCCCCAATTATTTTAGAATCTTTTGCTCTTCGTGGGGTTTCCTAGAATTCTTGGGGGTCCTAATCTCTGAGCTACAGCGGAACTTAAGCCGTGAACATATGGGCTATTAACTATTTCATTGTCTTTCCAGAGAGATAAAATGAAGAAGGAAGCAGCCTGAGAAAAAAAGCCGACATTTCGTCACGTCACTACTGGTTTCCCTACGAAATGACTTCTGAGGAACGAGCGCAAATCCGGGTAGTGCCTCTGATTGTTCCTACCGGGAGGGAAATTTGTTTCAACCAATGAGAAGCACTAGCCAGATCTGAGTAGTGTAGTGTTAGTATCTCAGACATCACGCCGCGGGGCAACCACTGTTGGCGTCTCAAAATGTCGGCTGTTTTCTCTGGCTAAGAAGGAAATTAGTTTTGATTTCATACTTTCCGAATCCTTTACTTCAGAAACTGCTCTAGCTGTATCCTTAAGCACAGGAATATCAAAGTTGTATCCTCCAATTTCGTTATCAATGTCCATACATTTTGCTATCATATCTATGCGAGATGACCCAACGATGAAGTAGGACTCTATTTCTGCTTCTAGATCTGCAGTTAAACTTGGTTTGGAATGCTCGTCTAACAAGCACACTAAATCTGCAGCCAGTTGTTCTTTGCTTATCTCAAGGTTGGCCTAAATTTCAAAGGAGAGAGAGAAAAA